TGTAGTGTACATGCTGTCTTGATGCGTTAGGGACTGAATATGTGATGAGCTGGGAGTGCGTCTGAGTTCAGGGAACATTGGCATTTTTTTGTAAACATAATTTTGATAATATAAGCTGCGTCATGCAGCATTCTTCTCTCCTACCCTTATCTAAGAGTGATGGCTACAGTTCTTTGAGAGTGACGAAGTTGCATGATCTATACATTTTGGCGTGAGATGGTCCACAGGACCCATGCAATACTGTTAGCTGATCGTGGACACATAGGACCCTATAGGACCTACACCTCTAAATTCTCTAGGCCAGAGCCCAGTAGGACCCTGTAGGCCCAGGCAACATTGGCATAGCAAAAAGTGATGCGCTAGGATTGAAGTTCATTCACTTTTCAGTTAGTGATTTTGGTGGAGTGAAGAGAAGGAGCAGCAGCAGCGCCAATCTTGGAAGCTGAAGGAGAGGGCTTGGGTGCAGCCATAGCCAATGTGTGTTCTGGCTCTATACGGCATGGTTTCGAGTGCCATTTGTTGCACACTGCTCAGTGCAGCCTGACCTTCAAGTGGACATCACCTCTTTTTTCCCTTTCATCAAGTGTGCTGGTGTGATTGAGCAAAACGAGCTTGTTGTGAAGCTTCTCCCCAACTGCCATCCTCAAGAAGTTGAAGTTTTGCACTTCAGTTTGTTTGAGTGCTGCGCATGGAAAGAAGTTGAAGTTTTGCAAATTCCTAACTTCTGAGGGGCATCAATTCTTAACATTTTTTTGCACAGTTGTGATTTTTTTTTCTTTTTCTTTTAATTGGGTTGGATCCACCCCAGGGTGGGAAGCCTGAACCGTACGAGTTCATATAGTCTGTAGAATATTCCTGTCCTTATCGAGTGAGATGCTAACCTTCTCTCGGCTCAACGAACAAGATATTTTTATTTTTTTTAATTTGCATAGTTAAAAAAAAAAAAGGAAAATATTTTCAGCAGGACCCATTCCCTGCCAAGCTGACCTCTCAAGTCACAATCGCACCCGTTTGATACCACAGCCACACACACAGCTGGCTTTTTTTCTTTTTTTGCCTTTTTTCGCCCTTTTTTTTTTGCCATGATGGACTGTTGATTACTCTGCAGAACAATATTTTGCAAGAGAGATGCAGTACTGCATTCCGCAAGCACAGATCCCCTAGATCCCCACTTAATCATCACACCACCTTAAGTAAGACATTGCGGGGAATCACCTGCCGCGGCGCTGGCCGCAAAGAGTGGAAGGGTTTCTGTATAAGCGCACTGCTGTTCTTTTTGGTTTCTAATCACAAACAATGATTTTGATTATATGTTTTCCACTTTTCAAAGAGAAAGAACACTTCTTTATTTACAAGGGAGCTTGTAATTTCATAGAGTATATAATTCGTTCAAACTTCAAACGGGCATACATTATGCGTGCAAGAGAATCAAATAATTCAGAAAACGGCAAAAGAAAATTTAAAGAGCCACTAGATGACCTGTTGCGGCTTCGCTCGCAAAGGAGAAGAAGATGCATGGCATTAAGAGGGGCGTGGTCAGGGAAGGGGGGTGGGGAAGAGGGGCCGGGGGCCCTGTTCTGCTGATGTCATACCTGTTGAGTGTTCTCAAATCTGTTCACAGGCGCCGTCTTACCTCAGATGTGCCGTTTGAGGTTCCTTGTGTAGAACCACTCCCGTTCTGAAGTGAGCTATGTGGCAATGCGTCGTACAATCATCTCCTTGTACTCGTCAAACGGTATGTGGTGATATTGAAGGTGTCGCGAGTAGGTGATTTCCAAGAGTGCCTGGACGTAGTCCCAAGTGTTTGGTTCGCACAATGTTTTTGTCTTGAGGTTGATGGTGTACTTCCTTTCTTTATTGTCCAGTTGGATGATTTGCTCGGCCACGTCTGCCGGTCTGAAGGAGCATAAGAGATCATACCAAGGTACGGTGTTGATCGAATAGGGAGTTCGTTTAGGAGTTGATTGTGTTGTGAGTTTTTGGTAAATCTTTTGAATCCTTTCGTATCTATATTTTGGCAGTGAAATCCCATTGCTGAGATGCATGTGATCTTCGGCCAGCAAGTTGTCCAAAATTGTTTGGTTGTGTTTTTTATCAGCAGGGTTATAGCTGAGCACCCCTCTAGGCATTAAAGTTCTGATTCTTCCAGATTTGTAGTGCTCAAACTGCAGACGAATATCTGCTGCGGGAAGGGATTGAACGACGAAGTTCGTTCAAACTTCAAACCGTCGTACGTTATGCGTGCAAGAGAATCAAATAATTCAGAGAATGGCAAAAGAAAATTTAAAAAATCAAATAATTCAAATAATGGCAAAAGATTTAAAGAATCAAATAATTCAGAAAATGGCAAAAGAATCAAATACTTCAGAAAATGGCAAAAGAATCAAGTAATTCAGAAAATAGCAAAAGAATCAAATAATTCAGAAAATGGTGCAATAACCCATGTAGTAAGCCTCGTGGAATCTGAAGGCCTCGCCAGGCCACACCCAGGCCCAGGCCAAAATGGGGGAAAAGACCCCAGCAAAGATTCAGGGCCTGGACGAGGAACAGTTGACAAAAAGTCAACTTCCGGAAACCCCAACAGTCAAAGTCAAGTGTACCCAGCCCAGGCCGCCAATCGAACATGCACAATTGTTTGTATGCAGGTACCCAAACAGCATCAGGTCCAAGGGGGAAAATCTGCAACTGTACAATCCAGGCCTTCGGCTGTGAAGCAATATGGACGACTGAGGGAAGGGGACCCGAGGCCAAAGAGTCTCGTCAAATGTTACTTAAAGACTGGCCTCGAGGTGGTGTTGTCCTGCTATGCTACTTTGACGCTAGCTCGACTTTAACTAGACGCTGGCATTATGTTGGCTCGACGCTGGCTAGACGCAGGTTGTGCATTGGCGATGCGGACAACGGCACGAGGTGGAGGCAGCATGCTGGCGCTTTCTGGATTGTGCGCCAGGCTTGCTGAGGTGGCATGCTGACGTGGCGCTACCACTGGTCTACATTGCATGCTGATGTGGCGCTACCTCTGGTCTACCTTGCATGCTGATGTGGCACTACCGCTGGTCTACATTGCATGTTGATGTGGCGCTACCTCTGGTCTACCTTGCATGCTGATGTGGTGCTACCTCCGGTCTACATTGGATGTTGACGTGGCGCTACCTCTAGTCTACACTGCTTGCTGATGTGGCGCTACCTCTTATCTACACTGCATGCTGATGTGGCGCTACCTCTGGTCTACATTGCATGTTGACATGGCGCTACCTCTGGTCTACAGTGCATGCTGATGTGGTGCTGCCACTGGTCTCCATTGCTGATGTGGCATATGCCACCTGTCTCGACTGTTGACGTGGCATTGTCCACGCTGTCTACATAAGGTGACTGGTTGCGAGGAGGAGGAAGATCGAGATCTGTGGATGAAGGAGGTCGAGTACTCACCTGAGGTTGACGTCGTCACTGGAATCTGTTATGTCTTCATGGTCTTCACGAGATAAAGTGCCGCGTGGCACTATTGTGTGTGATCAGGAATATACTTATTATCATTGTTGACGTGGAGAGGGAAGAAGCCCGGAGAAGGAGAGGGACCTGAAGGGATTATTACTGTGTAATCTTTCATCTTCTCCTTTGTCTATTCCCCCTCCACTCTCTTCTTGTGATGGTAATGAGATACTCTTTTGAGATATCTCTTCACAATTTGGAGACTTTGATGCAGATAATGAGACAAATGATGTTTGACGACTTTCGAGTATCTGTTAGACTGGGTTCATTACAATTTGGTATCACAGCAAACTTCTTCATCACAATTTGTTGTTTGTTGTCAGGTGCTGACGTGGCACCCAGGTAAGTGGGAAGTGTCGCACGTGCAAAATGAAACGTGTTTATTAACGCGTGCGGTAAATACCGGAGGTCTAGACATTGTAATATTGCACGTGCGAGCAATTGTCCCTTGAAGATGATGACGTGGCTGCACTGGAGATTTCAAGATGTCGGCAAGAGCTTCGTTGGCAATGTGCTGATATGGCGCTGGTGCAGAGAGAGATTGGTCCCACTGATGTGGCACATTGTTTATGTGGAATGCAAAGCATGGTCTGATGTGGCACGTACCTGTATCGTTGTTGGCTGTTGATGCTGCATTTGACGAGGCGTACCAGTGTTGAGTGGGTACCAGACCTGCATTGCAACGTGGCATCCCTCCTTGTAGACCGTGCTGGTCCTTGGTGTTGACGTGGCAATACTGTTGCGTTGGCATGCCAGGGGTGACACGTGGCATGCGCACAGGCTGGTGAGAGTGTGAGTGTGCACTTGTTGTTGATGATTGCATTGCTTCTGCAGATGGTAGAAAGAGGCTAACCATTGATTGTGTGGTTGTGTTGGCTTTTCTACTTACGTGTTGTCTGTTATGTGGTTGTTGTGTGTACTTACAAGTGTGTTGTTGTCTTGATCACACTAGTCGTGGTTGTGATACCTGTAGCTGTAGAACGTCATCACAAAAAATAGACAGCAAAGTTAGAATTTGAAAAATTAATTGAAAACTTGTTTATTCTTGATTATTTCTTGCCGTAAAAGTTGCGTGAGCTGTGGAATTTATTTTAGTCTTTGATTTTATTTATTGTGCAGCAAATACACGCCCGGGAAGATGAACTCCCTCTAGAAATGTTAGTGTGCCTCCATTCTGGCGCGGTTCATTCCACTTTTTTTCTTTCCTATCCCTCTCATATTCTATGTTGATGCCAAAGGGGGAGAATTGAAAACTCGTGGTCAAATTGAAGCAAGAAGGCAAACTTTAAAGGGCCTTCTTATACAATTGTTTGGTGAGATACACGGTGTCGGTCCAGCAGTTGAACAGCAAGTCAACGGAAAGTTCAACCTGCGAGCTGCAGAGGGTGAACTGGATGCTGCCGAGACTGCTGTTGAGATGATTGAAACCGGAAAGCGAGTTCAGGAACTCATCAGACAAGGGTGTAATGCTCTTGACCGGTTTGTCGCTGAGCAGTTAAAAGAATGGACCAAAAAGGAAAGGACGAAGAGAAGAAAGAAGAAAAGAAAGTGGAAACACAACTGTCTGCGGAACTAATGGAGGAGACTGTCAGACAATTAGAAAATACTCTAAGGGATGAGAGAAGAAAGATTGAAAAGTTCCGAAGAAGGAAAGAAGAGAGAGAACAGCAAGAGAAATTGTTGGAGAAAATGAGGGAACGGTTTCACTTTGAGGAAGTTGAGACTGATTTGTCATCTGTATTGCAATCTATCATGGCTATCATTAGAAACTATGATGAGAATGATGAAAGGTAAGGACAAGGTGAGCTTTGAGAAGGAGAAGAAGGGGGAAGTAGAAAAGAAACCACCCCGAGAAACTTTTGAAAGATGCAATGCGAAAGGTGACGCAAGAGAAACCCGAACCCTCGAAGAAAGAGTTTGAGGAGCCAGCAGGGAAGAAAAAAGAACCACCGAGAAGAAAGAAGATCCGACAAAGAAGGAAGAACCGGTCAAAGAAGCGGAAAAGTCGAAAAATAAAGAAAAGGTAAAAATGAAGTTACCATTTACCTACAGCAACAAAAAGGAAGAAAACATGTTGTTGTGGATCGCTGAAAATTCAGACTTACGTCGGGGCAGCACCCATCGAGCCTGAGAGCCAGGTTGCGTTCTCTACGTCATGTTTAGGAGGAGTGGCCAAGGAATGGGTGCTGGCAGAGGCCAATGCTGCTGGCTTGGAGGATATCGGTGAGTGGGCCAAGACACTTACTCTCAGGCAATTTCTCCAAAAGATTAAGGAGAGGTTCCTAGATAAGACGACGGTTGATAAAGCCTTTGATGAACTCACCACTATAGGCCAGAAACGTTGGACCTTTGTCGATGCATTGTCTAGTGAAATGGATCGTCTGTTGCAGGTACCTGGACTGAACCTACAGGACAACTAGATCCTCTATATCTACTCACGTGCTTTGCCCGAGCCTATTCGTGGACAGCTCGTGGCAGAATCGACGTCTGGGAAAGATAACTATCGGCAGTTTCGTGATCTCGCTCTCCAAAGAGAGCAGATGACCGCATACGTAAAAAGGTCTTACGCTTCGGTAGTCAAATCAGGACCCGTTAGGGGATATGGCAAGCGGGTCCTTTGGCGGCAAAAGCGCCAGGACCATATGCTTGTGCTATTTGACGATGAGACCGTAGAGAAGTTACCCCTCGACGAGTCTGAGGGAGGAGGAGGTAATGGCGGCAGTGAGTCTGGGAAGGGTGACATCACTGCCGTAATGGCCAACAATGAAAGAAGAAGAAGACACCACGCTCGTTTCCCGAACATCCTGGCATTGCATTCGGGAGGCCTTGGGAGAAAATGAATATGACACGAGAGGAATGGCAGTCCAAGATTGACAATCGCTAGTGCCTTAAGTGTGGTACCATGGGGCACGTGATAGCCTGGTGCCCGCTTATTCGAAACCCAAAAGCGAGCAGCCAGTAGGAGTAGCATCTGCTCCTACTGAGTCGAAGGGTTCAAACGAAGACAAAGGTAATGCGCCTACAACCCCTTCTACCCCTTCGACTCTCAAGGCAGAGGATGACTCTTCTTCCGCCCGTCGTCCATACCACCCTGACACAGTACTTTGTTCTGTCTCACTGGACTATTCCCTTGATGAGCTCGGCAATGAACTCATAGCACTACGGAGTTCATGGGCAAAGAAAGCTAAGTCTAAGGGTGAGTTGATGATCGCGGATATTGAGATTGCGCACACGCGAGTAGGTGCTCTGTTAGATTCGGGATCGACGCGGTCTTATATCTCAGAGAAGGCAATTC